ACCCTAAACCCCAAGTATGCGTAGAATGTTATCTGCAGATCCCTCTCGAAGTGTCGAGAATGCAGAGTAGGGAAGCGGCTGACTACGGTTCCATACATGGCCCCGTTGGAGGGTTTCGACCTTTTTGTGTCAATGTTCAAATTAAAAATCTGGTTCTTTTGAAGCAGTTGGCGGGTCTGTGCCTTAGTTGCATGTCCATAAGGAGGGCTCATACATGAGAGCGACAGAGAGGGACAGAGAGAAGAGAGAAGAGAGAGAGAGTCTAGGGCCCAAGGTCTCAAGCTTAGGGCCCTAAACCCTGAACCTCAGCCTTAGACCCTAGACCCTGAACCCTAAACCCTAAACCCTAGACCCAAACCCTAGCCCCTAAGATTTACCCGAAACCCTAAACCCTAAACCCTAAACCCTAAACCCTAAACCCGAAATCCACCGCCCGGTCTCGTCAGCTGCAGGACGCCTGTTCCCTTCAGACTGGGGCTTCCCTCAATTAACGGAACTTACGCCGTTTCCTCGGTAACTTATAAGCCAGAAGGGGGGGGGGGGGGGGGAATTTTAAGACCCAAGAGGATATTAAAAAATGTTAACTGTTAAAAAAGTTCCGTAACTTAAGCTAGAAGGGTGGGAATTTTAAGACCCAAGAGGATGTTAAAAGCAATAGTTTTTAGAAAGGTTCTAAGGTGAGTATAGTAAGCAGATACTATGCATATATTGAAGTGGCTGCCTTCATATGACTGATCTTACTAATGTATTGATACGAACAACGCCAAGCATAAAAGGCATGGGTTGCTAAGTGGCTATGATCATCGTAGGATTCAACATTATGCTTCTGGGCTTACGTCGACGCCAAGTTTCGGTTCGGCGTAGACCCTTAAACAGTGTAGTTAAACTCAACAAGGAATAGAAGCTTATTTTTAAGGATACTTCAACTCAGTAAGGAAGAGAAATTGACAGTTTTATTACTATGCCGACCATGAACTAGTTTCACTCGGCTTGATTGTGGCCACTGCAGCTTGGAGGCGAGAAGAAACAGCACTCTGAAGCGATGACTCACCACTGTATATTTGGTATTGTTCTTGTTCCAAACTGAGGCATTCAGTAAGCTAAATAGTGGGAAGTCAGTTTTGAAAAGTTAAGCTCCAGCTGGGGCATCATATTCCGTAGAACTTACAAAGTTTCGTTAACGGGAAGCCCTGGTATGCTGGCTTCCTGGACGTCGCAGAGGCCGTGCATTTCCAGTGTTCAAGGATCTAGGACCCACAGGGTTTAGGGTTTAGGGTTTCGGGTTTAGGGTTTAGGGATAGAGGGATGGTTCAGCTTTCACGCGGACTAATCAGGGTAGCGCCGTAAAGGATGGATGCCTTCATGTTGTGTACAAGAGATGGCCCTTCAAAGGGAGGCAGTTCGTTTTTCCCAATCTACTGTTTGCAAAGCCACCAGAAAAATAAAAGAAGAGAACCCCGATATTCACCCTTTGTCAGGGGGTTTCTTAAGCCCTAAACCCTGAGCCTCTAAACCCTGACCCTAAACCCTAAACCCTAAACCCTAAACCCTAGTAGCAATGTTCACTGTCACGGCTCCCGAGGCTTCCTCAGGGCTCCTCAAGCGCATCACTTGGACCGTTTTTGCTTGGAACTTTCGGGCCTTGGGGTTTCGGGTTTAGGGCTTGGGGTATAGGGTTTAGGGTTTAGGGTTTTGGGTTTTGGGTTTTGGGTTTTGGGTTTTCGGTTTGGGCCTTGCGCGCTTGGCACTGAGTAGGAGTTGATGGCTATTTGGGGCCTCCCTCAACGCGAAACCCACAAACCCTAAACCCCAAACCCAAAGCTTCGTTTACCCTAAACCCCAAGCACTTAGCCCAAATCCCAAAGCTTCATCTACCCTAAACCCCAAACTCTCAACCCTAAACCCCAAACCCTAACCCCAAACCCTAAACCCTAAGCCCTAACCCTAAACCCTAAACCCCAAACCCCAAACCCTAAACCCTGAACCTCTAAAGCCCAAAGCATCATTTACCTTCTGCAGGTTCTCAAGAGCCGCATCGGGGGAACTTAGAATGCCGAGTGCAGTGGTCGGTGGCAGGTGTCTCGCAACCAAGAGGAAATTTAGGGTTTTAGGGTTTAGGGTTTAGGGTTTAGGGCTCAGGGTTCAGGGTTTAGGGTTTAGGGTTTCGGGTTTCGAGTTTGCTGGACGCCTGGCTCCCTTCCAGGTGCGTTCGGGATACAGACCCCATCTCTTACATGTCGCCCCTGCAATCTGGCTCTGGGAAGCACCCCCGAATTCTGAAGCCCCGAAAGTCCCCAACCCTGAGCTCTAAACCCGAAACCCTGAAAACCCCAAACCCCTAAACCCCGTAAACCCCGTTAAACCCCCTAAACCCCCTAAAAAACCCCGAAACTTGATTTGTTCCTTCCCGAAGTTGCAACTTTCTGGCATTTCTCATCGACTTGGGCCGGGGACGCGGGACGCGGCGTCAATTCCGGGTTTAGGGTTTAGGGTTTAGGTTTAGGGTTTAGGGTTTGGGGTTTGGGGTTTAGGGTTTAGGGTTCCGTATATTCTCATAAGGGTTTGGGGTTCAGGGTTTAGGGCTTAGAGTTTCGGTTTTGGAGGTCATATGCTCTGAAAGATAGCTTAGGGCACCAGCAATGGCCGGTAGTGTTGACGAAAGCCCAATGGCATTGCAAGCTATAAGGAGGTTCTAATCATTCAATACACTGCAATATATCAAATGAGTTTTCATACTAAATATGATGTTCACGTATGTGTGCATTGACTTGCGAGCTCCCCAGACAGATTGACCAGCCGACGACATAAGCCGTGCCACACGTCGTCCTGGGGTCCGCGCCCTTCGAAAGTAGCAAACTTTGCAAACCTCTCGAATGGGGATCCGGATCTTTGCTTCTGCATATTCAGGTTCATTCCAGTGGGATGCCCCGGAATTTAAAGAGAGAGAGGGGGGGGGAGCTGTTGCAAATGATAGTCCTTTTTTTTCGGGGGCGGGGGGGGGGGGGGGGGGGGGGGGTGGAGGGTGCCGATCGCATACATATCGTAACGATTCTTGTTCAAACCCTAAACCCCAAACCCTAAACCCTAAACCCCAAACCCAAAGCCTTAAACCCTCGGCCCTAAACCCCAAACCCGAAACCCTAAACCCTATAAACCCAAAGCCCTAGGCCCCAAGCCCGAAACCCCAAACCCTAAACCCTCAACCCTCAACCCGAAACCCTAAACCCTAAACCCTCAACCCTAAACCCAAAAACCCTAACCCTAAAACCCTGAACAACCCTGAACCCAAAGACCTTGAGCACGCGGGAGTCCATGGACATGGCCCGGCTTGCCACATATCCGCAGGGGGCTGCCCTACTACCCCCCTCTATACTACCCCCCCCTCTAATTAGGGTTTAGGGTTTAGGGTTTAGGTTTTTGGTTTAGGGTTTGGGGTTAGGGTTTAGGGTTTAGGGTTTAGGGTTTAGGATTTGGGGCCCTACTTGAGGTTAATTAAGGTGAGGGGGGGTAGGATGGAGGGGGGTAGTAGGGGAACCCGATGATATTCTCTGCCAGCTGGGAGTTTCTTGGACAGCGCGCCGAACGCCTTTGCGTTTAGGGCTTAGGGCTTAGGGCTTAGGGCTTAGGGCTTAGGGCTTAGGGCTTAGGGCTTAGGGCTTAGGGCTTAGGGCTTAGGGCTTAGGGCTTAGGGCTTAGGGCTTAGGGCTTAGGGCTTGGGTTTTGGGGTTTGGGGTTTGGGGTTTGGGGTTTGGGGTTTGTGTGTTAGGGTCCAGGGTTTAGGGTTTAGGGTTTGGCTCGGGTTTGTGCTTCTTTGGTGCAAGTGGGTCATGGCGCCGATGTCCAGTAGTCCTCAGCTTCCTCCCCTGCAGGAGAGAGAGTCTTAGGGCAGTTTCAAGGTCTTTTAATAGGGGTTTAAAGTTTAGGGTTTAGGGTTTAGGGTTTAGGGTTTAGGGCCCATACAACCCAAGGGCCCATGCTTCAGGACCCTCTAAAGAAGAGAGAGAGAGAGAGAGCGAGTCTTGGGGTAGTTCCATGGTCGCTGTCAAGGGACTCGAGGAGGGACCCTTAGACAGGGATCTTAGGGGTTCTTTAAAGGCTACTTAAAGGTATATAGGAACTGTATACGGTATATTGTAGGGGTTACGTGTGGGTTATAGAGGGGGAATAAGATGAAGGGTGCCTTCTAGGCGTCCCTGTACAACCCAAGGGCCCATACTTCAGAACCGAGTCAAGAAGGTAACTTCTCCTGTCGTGGCGTAGGGACCAAGTGAACCCCTAAAGTTGGGGTCAGAAAACCCTACACCACAATTATCCCAAGTAATATATGAACCACAAAGCCTTTTTAGGGCTCATTGTCTACCCTAGACTACTATGGTCCCTTCTAAGATACATGAACCATAAACCCTATTCAGGTTCATTTGGTCCAGGTATGGGGTAGAGCTCCGGGGTTAGAGGGATTAGGGCGAAGTAGGCTTCAGGGCCTTACGGGGCCCTAAAGCCCCGAAACCCCTAAACCCTAAACCCCTAAACCCCTAAACCCCGCAAAACCCCCTAAACCCCCTAAACCCCGCAAAACCCCCTAAACCCCTAGACCCCCTAAACCCCTAAACTCGACCACCCCCTTGTAGGGTTGCCGCTCTCTTCCTGCAGGGAGGTCTCGATTTCGGCGGCCCTTCTCCTGGCACAGCGGAAATGTGAACCGCTCGCAGGGTTCCCGTCCTCCTGGGTTCAGGGAGATTGGGGGGTCTAGGGGTTTAGGGTTTTAGGGTGTTAGGGTGTTCGGGTGTTAGGGTTTTAGGGGTGTATCCTCCTGGGTTCAGGGTGCACCCCCAACGTTTGCCCCGCAACAGCTGGGGCGCAATGCCTAAAAGCATGGTGGGGTGCATGAAATTGAGGTTCGGGCTGCAAGTGCATTGCGTCGCGCAACGGAGAAGTTCCGTTTGCGGAAGTGCTGAAAACACTGGCAGGGGCGACAAACATGGCGGTTCCGTTTTCGGCTTTCAAGCGGCGTCTGCGTCCAAGAAGGAAACCTGATTCCACAGATCCTTGGGCGACACGGTATTGCGGTAGAAATTCTGATACGCCACCACAGCGGCAGCTATCTTTTGAAGCCCCAGTTCCTGTTGCAAAAAATGGCGCTGAGCCGTCAATGTGGCAGCGACTCTTTTTCGAGCTGCTGCGTCCCAACATGTTACATCTCCGGAGCATGCGCTTCAGAGCCGCTACCTGACTTTCACAGCGTTGGTCTCCGCCAACCATCGTGACACTGCGTCTGTTGATCTTGGCTCTTTTACAGGCCTTGATCGACTTGAGAACCCTGGTAAGCTGATTTCACGTGCCGTGGCAGGAGGTGAAAGTGTTTTCAAGGGAAGGGTTGAGCATACCAGCACTTGGCCTGCTCACCTCTGGGCCAAAACTGTGCACAGCGAAGAAACAGCTGTCCTCTGGTGAGACCACTTTGCACAAGGTGGGGCTGAAGGCTCCTGCGCTCATGGAACCGACAGCCGCCCCAGCGGAACTTCTGCTGCTTCTTGTTGAAACAGCGTCTCAAGTCCTCCAGTTCAGCACTCTCCTCCTTCAGCTGCTCAAGGATGTAAGGCGGGATGCCCGGCTGCCCCGCAGACTGCGAACTAGAACTGTCGCCATCGAGCACAGACGGGCTGTACTCCTCAATGTCATCCACAGACGAAGAGGAGGAAGCAAAGGCCTCATCTACACTGCAGCATTCCCCCTGCGCTTCCAGGCATCGACACCGTCGAATTTCTTCTGTCGTGAGCGGAGACAAAAAAATGTCTTCGATGCCAGCTACGCCACGAACCACTCGCTGTCTTGCTGGAGAGCGAGAACGAGCCATGGCCCAAAGCAGAAGCAAAACCCCGAGACCAAGGCACCCCGAACATGACTTACCAGCGCCTCTGAAAGTCTGAGCAACCCGCAGGCAAATGTTTCATGTTCCCCTAGGACGATCTGAAACAGAACCTGTCATGAACCTTGAGGAAGATGTATGCAAGTTGAAGAGCTCGATCAAGAAAGGATACCTGCAGACAGAAAAGTGCGGGCAAACGTTGGGGGTGGACCCTGGGTTCAGGGAGATTGGGGGGTCCAGGGGTTTAGGGTTTTAGTGTTCAGGGTTAGGGGTTTTGGGTGTAGGTCTAGGGCTTTAGGTTTTTGGTTTGGGTGAAACTCGAAGATTCATATAAGAAGAACCCCTAAACCCCTACCCCCTAAACCCAAAACCCTGAACCCCTGAACCTTGAACCCCTAGACCCTAAACCCTAAGCCCCTTTCTTCGGGACCGCTTGCGCGTGCCCGACGTGGACGTGAAATGAACAACAGTCCGGGTTCGGGGTTACGGGGTCTTCTCGTCGCCTTGAACCCAAGAACGTCATAAACCCAACAAATCCCGGCAAATCCTATAAACCCTCCCAACCTGAAAGACTCTGCTAGACCCTGAACCCCCAAGCCCCAAACCCCAGAACCCTAAGATCAATAGCCCTCAACCCTACACCCTAAACCTTAACCCCTAGGGCTGACGAGTCAAACTTTTCAGGGTGGGGCCATGCACCAGGGAAGGCCGCCGCCTGCTATGATTTTACATATTTCCGCTTTGCCCTTCGGACGACTCAGTGGTTGTAGAGTAGGGTTTAGGGTTTAGGGTTTAGGGTGTAGGGTGTAGGGTGTAGGGTTTAGGGGTTAGGGGTTAGGGGTTAGGGTTTAGGGTTTAGGGTTTAGGGTTGAGGGTTTTGGTAACCTTTAACCTTTTTAGGGTAGTAGAATTCCCTTGCAATCCCAAAGGTTAACCTTTAGTTTTTTCCAGGTTACTGGACAACTACGACTCGGTGGTTGAGCAGCTTAGGGTCTGAAGGGGGGTTTAGGGTTCAGGGGTTAGTGGTTTAGGGTTTTGGGTTCAGGGGTTTAGGGGCTTGGGGTTAGGGTTTAGTGGTTTAGGGGTTTAGGGTATTCTTCTTCTCCTACTTCTTCTTCTTCTTCCTCTTCTTCGTTTTCTTCCACTTCTTCTTCTTCTTCCTCTTCTTCTTTTTCTTCCTCTTCTTCTTCTTCCTCTGCCTCTTCCTCTCATTATTCTTCTTCTTAAGACCAAACTATCCCTCAAACACCCGAAACCAGGGTTCGCGTTGCACCGGCATGTGTTTCAGGGTTTAGGGTTTCCAGTTTAGGGGACCTATAAGAGCACGACCCCCCCCCCCTCCCTCCCCCGAAATGATGACACTAAACCCTAAACCCTAAACCCTAAACCCTAAACCCTAAACCCTAAACCCTAAACCCTAAACCCTAACCCTAAACCCTAAACCCTAAACCCTAAACCCTCAGCCTAAACCCTAAACCCTTCTGAATGCGCGTCGTTCGTTGGGACCTTTCAAGAAGCGTACAAAGGCAAGACCAGCAATCAGAAAGCAACTCGGAGTTAGCGCTTCAGCTGGGCTGAGGCTCTCCCTAAACCCCTTTGCAAGGGTTTAGGGTTTAGGGTTTAGGGTTTAGGGTTTAGGGTTTAGGGTTTAGGGTAAGCCCTGTACTTCCTACAAACCCGGAAACCCGGCAAATGCTGCAAGCTTGGGGGTGGCTTAGGGTTCAGGCTTGAGGGTGGGCTCCTGAAGTACGAAACCTTAAACCCTGAACCCAAAACCCTAAACCCTAAGCCCCAAGCCCTAAACCCTGAACCCTAAACCCTAAACCCTAAACCCTAAACCCTAAACCCTAAACCCTAAACCCTAAACCCTGTCACAAGAGAGTTGCTTGCGTCAGAGTCCTCCCGGCAGCCCGAAATCTGGAGCGGCCTTGTTGATCAGGCTGCTACCCCGGCCCCAGAGTGGATCTAGAAAGTGGAGACCCCTTAACTCTGTTTGGGGTTTAGGGTTTGGGGTTTGGGGTTTGGGGTTTAGGGTTTAACAGAAAGTGGAGACCCCTTAACTTTGTCATAGTGGGGTAACATTTTTTCATTTTTAGGGATACTGAAACTCACTAAGGAAGAGACGTTTTCCCAACCATGAACTAGGCTTCAGGCTGCCCAACAGCGTTGTTAACAGGGCACTAAATAGGGGTTTAGGTGTTAAGCCCAAGACCCTAAACCCCAGGCCAGACCCTGGTGTGCGGGGGCTCGACTTTCTAGATCCTCCCAGGTGTCTGGCTAGAGAGGCATTGCCTCTGTCCCCGCAATTGTGGAGGGAATAAAGAGGCAGAGGGGTGACGACCAGGGCATGAGAGTTAGGGTTTACGGTTCCGGAAGACCTAAACCCTGAACCCAAAACCCTAAACCCTAGCCCGAAACCCTAAACCCAACACCCGAAATTCGGTTTGGGTTGGGAATGACTGCCTGGACGCGCTCGTGCGCGTGGAGGCTGTCTCTAGAGACTCATTTTGATAGGGTTTAGGGTTTAGGGTTTAGGGTTTAGGGTTTGGGGTTTGGGGTTTGGGGTTTAGGGTTTAGGGTCATTTCGTGCCCAAGGTGCCTGCGATAAAGGGCACACCATTTAGGGTTTAGGGCTTAGGGTTCGATTCTTAACCTGGAGGCTCCTTCTCATGTTTTCCCTTCAGGACCTTGGGACCCCTTTTTTTTGATATTTTCCCCCGTTGAGTTTGGGAGAGGATCATATGTTTGTAGGGTTTAGGGTTTCGGGTTTAGGGTTTAGGGATGTCTCCAGGTTGGCTTTTGGAATTCCTTAGTGGTTTAAAAGGGAGCCCTGAGTATTGTTCAGAGGGATAAAAAGAGGCCAACCCAGTATCTTTTCAGAGGGCTGAGAGGGTTTAGGGCTTAGGGCTTAGGGCTTAGGGCTTAGGGCTTAGGGTTTAGGGTTTAGGGTTTAGGGTTTAGGGTTTAGGGTTTAGGGTTTAGGGTTTAGGGCTTCACGCCTTGAATGAGCGCAAGGGCACGGTGCCTTGAACTCTCAAGGAATTTGTCCGCAAATAGCAAGCAAGCAGCTGCCACATGGAGCCCCCCCCCACACACACACACCGCACCCTCAACCTCTTGATTTAGGGTTTAGGGTTACACGACATTTGAATAAGCACACCTGCACGAACCCCCCCCCCCCAAAAAAAAAACAAAACAAACAAAATGAAACAAAAAGACCAACGCAAGCCCATCTATTCGTGAAGAACCGTTCGTTAACACACCAGTATTGGAGCAGCCTTCTTTGTGCTTATGTTGATTTGGTCCCTTAAAAAGGGAATTCAAGACAACCCTATGGGTGACACCATCATCTTTGTTCCTTCAAAGCCAAGTCTGAGAAAACGAATGACCTTAAAACCTAAACCCATAGCCCTAGAAACCCCAAACCCATAACCCTATGAACCCTAAACCCCAAAACCCTAAACCCCGAACCCGAAACCCCAAACCCCAGACCCCAAACCCCAAAAAACCCCAAACCCTAAACCCCAAACCCCAAACCCTAAACCCTAAACCCTTATAAACCTTAAGCGACCCCCCTCCGAGCCATGCCCAAGAAAGCCGCAACTCCCGGGGCCGCGACCGGCGCTCTGCGAATTTGGACGGTCGGCGGGTGCCCGGGCGCCTTCAGCGGTTTAGGGGGTTTGGGTTTTTGGGGGGGGTTTGGGGTTTTTGGGGGGTTTGGGGTTTGGGGGTTTAGGGTTTGGGGTTTTGGGGGTTTAGGGTTTGGGGTTTTTGGGGTTTAGGGTTTGGGGTTTTTGGGGTTTGGGGTTTTTGGGGTTTAGGGTTTTTGGGGTTTGGGGTTTTTGGGGTTTGGGGTTTAGGGTTTAGGGTTTGGAGTTTTTGGGTTTTTTGGGGTGTAGGGTTTCGGTTTGGGGTTTAGGGTTTAGGGCCGGGTTTGTTTCGGGAGCCTATACTATGCCCTTTGCTCTTTGCAGGCTTCGGCAAGAACTGAAACCAGTAAAGTAGTAGAACGGAAGGGACCATGAGTTCGACCAGCCTTGCTATCAAGCCCTTCCCTTACAGTCCAGGCCGAGGCCTTCAACTCCTAAACTTAAAAGCCCTTCACGGGTAGTTCTCTAAATTAGGGTCCTTTTTTGCAATTTGTCGTTTTTGCTTATAGGGTGCCGTGCGAAATAGAAAGCGGGGGGGGGGGGGGCAAGAGGGAAGCTATATAACGTAGAGAACGACCCTCATGTCGACATCTCCTCCTGACTTGCACGAAACCCGGAACACCACCGTAAGGATGGTTTAGGGTTTAGGGTTATAGGGTTATAGGGTTTAGGGTTTGGGGTATAGGGTTTAGGGTTGGGCCTTGGGGTCTTTAACTAGGGAGGGCTTTTGGGATCCAGGGTTTGGGCTGGGATGTTCCCCCTCATCCTAACAGTCCTTAATCGGGATGAACATAGGGGCCTAAACCCTAAATCCTAAACCCTAAACCCTTGTGGTAGTAAAGTGCTTCATACCCTTCCCCGGTCTAACCCGGAGCTGAGTTTTTAGGGGCTTGAGGTGCCAGAGTTCAGGGTTTAGGGTTCAGGGTTTAGGGTTAGAGGGTTGAGGGTTGAGGGTTTGGGGTTTAGGGTTTAGGGTTTCACGACTTTGGGTGCGCTGGTGCCTGGTTTTTTGAGATCTTCTTTGACTCGGTATGCCCAGGCAAGAAATCGCGGCAGTGAACTCAGAGGACTTCGAGGACGGCGTCCTTGGAGTCTAGGTGGTTCAGGGTTTAGGGTTTAGGGTTTAGGGTTTAGGGTTTAGGGGTTAGGGTTTAGGGTTTAGGGTTTAGGGTTTAGGGTTTAGGGTTTAGGGTTCATTCTACGAAAAGTTAGGGATTATAGTAACCCACCCATTATATTCCCTACTTAAGGACGGTTCGTGTAAGGGGGAACATCCCAAGTGGTTCTCTAAATTAGGGTTGGGTTGTTCCTCCCTTATACTAACACTCCTTAATCGGGATTTTACTATCCCTACTATAGTCCCTATTAAGGATTGTTAGTATACGGGGAACAGAACAAATTTGGGGCACGTAGGGCTGATGGCTTGCTAGCCGCTGCAATACAATACAAGGCTACCAAAGGGATATCTAGGCATATGCAGTCTCCTTGTTTTTGGAGGGGAGCGGGGGGGGGCGGTTGGGGGGTAGGGCGGGGAGCTTGGTGGCCTGGTTGTGGGGATTACCGGGCGGTATTACTTGGCTTATTTCGAGACCCGCTTGAAGCTGGAGAGGTCCTCTTTCATAAGGGGTGTGTGTGTGGGGGGGGGGGGCGGGGGGGGGGGGGGGGGGGGGGGCGTTGCAAAAGCTCTGTCATGATCAGTGCCTGACAAAGCATGCAACAAATTGTTCTGGGCAGGGGTCCCCGACTGTGCTGGTAATCAGTGGTTTGCCCATCTTGGAGCTGCCGTATGTGGGAGTTTACGATACTGGGGGGTACTTTAGGGGGGTTCTGAGAAAAGGAGATCCTACTCTTTGGGGGTCTATATTAGGGGTCCCCTTAGATTGAGACCCCATGTGTCATCTTTGCAGCGGGTTTAGATGCCCTGCCCTAGGAGGGCATCTTGAACCAAGCAGGATGGATGAAGGCAGATCATCCAAAACCCCTTCATGAAGAAATATGCCTTAAGTTATACTAAGGATCCTTATTTTGAATTAGGGTGTGTTCCTGAATTAAGGGGTTTGGAAGATCTGGGCAGACCCTGTTCCACGACCAACCATGGTCAACACTGGCCCCTCAACAGATCCACGGGTGTCCGGCTTCTGCAAGGTGATCCCTAAACCTTCTTAAGCAAGCAAGCTCGGAAAGACTCTCCTAGCTAACCCGACAAAGAACCCTGAGATCCTATAATATGTCACCCTGTACCTATAAACCCTACAAATTACCCTCAAACTCTGTAAGTAACCTTATGCCCAGCCCCAATAAGAGTAACCATCAACGGAATCAAAGGCTAACCCTCTAAGCAACCTCGGAGGACGTGCGGGCCTTGAAGAAGCATCTGGAGCCGATCTGCAAGCTGCCACGGTTCAGGTCCCTTGGAGTCAGTTGGGGGGTTTAGGGTTTAGGGTTTAGGGTTTAGGGTTTAGGGTTTAGGGTTTAGGGTTCAGGTCCCTTGGAGTCAGTTGGGGTTTCCGAAAATGGGGGTACCTTTGGTGTTCTTTCCTATTTCGGGTATAAAAAGAGGGAACCCCTGTTTTGGGAGATCCCCATTTAGCCTCTCTAGTGTTATGGTTATGGGCTTTTCGGGCTTGACGTACCTAGCCAACGGATTAACTTTAATCTTGTTGGGCTTCCTTACTTTGTAGGACGAATAGGTTTAGAGTTTAGAGTTGCGGGTTTCGGTTGTTTGGTGCTTGGTTCTTGGAAGAATTGCTCCGAGAAGCAAAAATCTAGTTCTACCAAGGGTTCAGGGTGTAAGGATTGGAGGAGTCAGGGCGCACGGCCCTAAATTAAACCCTAAACCCTAAACCCTAAACCCTAAACCCTAAACCCTAAACCCTACGGCCCAAGATTGTTCCTTAAACCCCCGGCTTGTTTACCCTTGGCTTCGGGACTTCTTTACAGAGCCTGGGGTTTTGCGTAATCCCATCCGGAAGTAACATGGGAGCCTGCATAATTTCCACTGAAGTTTAGGGTTTGGGGTTTGGGGTTTAGGGTTTAGGGTTTAGGGTTAGAGTTTAGAGTTTAGGGTTTAGGGTTTAGGGTTTAGGGTTTAGGACTTTTAGGGTTTAGGGTTTAGGGTCTAGGGTTTAGGGTGTTGTTCAGGGTCGCCTGCACACCAAAGAGTCTGCGTGTGTTGCCAGGCAGCGGCTTACCAGCAAAGGCGATGTGGTCTTGCCAGACGATGCGAGGCCCCAGACTGGGCAAGAGGGTTTAGGGTTATGGGTTTAGGGTTAGGGGTGTAGCTTTTGGGCTTGAGGGGTTTTGGGGTTTAGGGTTTAGGGTTTAGGGTCTGGGGTTTAGGGTCAGGGGTGTAGCTTTTGGGCTTGAGGGTTTGGGGTCTAGGGTTTAGGGGTTTCGGGGTTTAGGGTTTAGGAGTTTAGGGGTTTAAGGGTTTAGGGGTTTGGGGGTTCAGGGGTTTAGGGTTTGGGTTTGATGTCCCCCTTCATTCTGCTAACAGTCCTCAATAGGGTTTATACTAATTAGGGGGCACGAGAATCCAGATGAAAAACTGTTAGTAAAAGGGGAAAATCCCAAATTGAGGGTTTAGGGTCCAGGGTTTGCCGCTGCCAGGGCGTCTTTGTTAGATGGTCCTTGCAATGTTGGGCGTGTGCTTACATATCAGGCGGCGCGCCCACTTGAGCGCCAGAATCTTAGAGAGTTTGCGGAGGGGTTGCGAAGTACGCTTAGCCAGAAGCGGTCTCTTTCGGGGCGTTGCTGAACCCTAAACCCCGCGCCCTGTAATCCCATGCCTGGTGTCGGCAGACTGGAGCCAGGGATGGTTTAGGGTTTAGGCACCTACAGCCCGGAGTCAAGGGGGGTGTTATGAACATCAGGTTGTTACCTGTGTATTGATAGAATCAAGACTGCCCCCCCCCCCCCCCCCAACAAAAAAGACCGCGCTGACTTCCTTCTCGTGTGAACCATTCAATACCAGTGTTGAAGCTGCTCGCTTCCCCGCAGATCGGGACAAGCGCTGGTGTGAATGCGTCGAACATCTGTGGGGACGGCAGGCCGTTCACCACAACCCAGCACTGTGGGGAGGAACGCTGCAGGTAGCCTGTCGCCGGCCATGTCTGCGAAGGTGGAGGCTGGAAACAGGCTTGCGAGATGGGCCATTCACATGATCCGGCTCTGTTCGCAACACGGAGTTCCAGGTGCTGCTGGAGAACCCCAAGCGCCCCTTTCTCTGGAGGCTTCCAGAGCTGTCGAAGCTGCTGTAGCCCGAGAAGCTGGTCCAACAGGATGAGGTCGAGATGGGCGCCTTTGTGGCTGGCGACGTACCCTTTGCCACTTTAAAGGACCCTAAATCACCGGAAATTCTGAGAAACAAAGGGTTTAGGCGTTTAGGGACTCTAGGCTTTGGGGTTCCACTACCAGTATACCACCATTACCAAAAACTCAAACTTCCACACCCTAAACACTACACCCTGAACCCTAAGCCCGAAATCCTAAACCCTAAACCTTCGAAACCCTCGACCCCAAAGACCCTCAAACCCTCAACTCTCGAGAAAAAGCACCAGAAACCTCGAAGCCCTATATGAACGCCCTAATCACCCTTCCCCCCCCCTGCCAAAAACAATCGAACAAAAAGATAAATATTAAAACAACACCTTAAACTCGAAACAGCCCCTGAGCTCCAAAAACCCTCGGCCTTCAACCCTGAGTTCTTTTGCAGCCCGAAACCCTAACCCCTAAACCTTAAACCCTAAACCCTAAACCCGAAACCCTAAACCCTAAACCCTAAACCCTAAACCCTAAACCATGACTTTTGCAGAAGCCCTATTTAACAGCGGGTCCCTTGGCAGCTTGGAGTCCATGACCAAGCTGCAGCTGGTTCTCCTCCCGTACACCAAGGCTCGGAGTCCTTCACTCCTCCCCCAGCTTGAAAGGGTTTAGGGTTTAGGGTTTAGGGTTTAGGGTTTAGGGTTTAGGGTTTAGGGGGGTTAGGGGTTCTGGGTTAGGGTTTAGGGTTTAGGGTTTAGGGTTTAGGGTTTAGGGTTTAGGGTTTAGGGTTTAGGGTTTAGGGTTTAGGGGACTGGGGAGGTTTAGGGGTTTGGGGCTTAGAGCTCCTCACTCGGGTATCCTCAGTGTCCTTTAAGGTTCCGGACCTTCCTTCAGAGGTGAGTGGTGTTTGTAAGGGTTTAGGGTTTAGGATTTAGGATTTAGGGTTTAGGGTTTGGGGATTGGGGATTGGGGATTGGGGATTGGGGTTGAGGGCTTACAACCACCCACCCGTCCTCTAGCACGAAGACCTCTGGTTTTGGGAGTTTTGGGTGGTGGCCCAAAGTTGGAGATGCTCGGTTCCGCGCTTTTGTCGTTGCTTGCCACAAGCCGTCCCACAAGAGAGCAACAAAACAAGACAACATGTTGGAAGTAGAGGGAAGGACTGCGAAAGCACAGCTGACTTTGCCCTGTCAGATGGTTAGGGGTGTAGCTTATTGGGGTCCATATTGAGGCCATCCTACCGTTTGGGGTCTATATTGGGGCTCCCTCATTTTCGTAAACCCCCAGATCGGGAACTGAGTCGAAGTTCTCTTGGCCTCAGATTATGTTTCGAGGGTTTTGGGGGGGCTATGCCGGCGATGCCTTGCAAGCGCCGGGCTTCCCAAAGCATCTGTTGAAAACATGTGGTTTACGGCCCGGAGCGCACCCCCACCACTTCAACTTGAAACGGCCCTAAACCACCTAAAGCAAACGCCAAACCACCCTGAACCACGCTAGACAACCTAAAACACCCGAAGAGCCCTATGAGCCCTAAGCAGTCCATGTGGGAAGTAAGCTTAGCCTAAACTCAAAGGTTAGGGTAGGGCTTAGGGTTTAGGAGTTAGGGTTTAGGGGAGGCCTTGAGGGCAGAGGCCTTGCATGTCCCAGGCCACCCAGAAGGAAGTGGATACATTCGTGGAGGTGGCCGCCAGGGGCAAGGCGCTGCGAAACCCAGAAAATTGGGGTTTAGGCAGGGGGTTAAGGGGTCCAGGGGGTCTTTAGGGGGGTTTGAGGGGGGCTTAGGGGGGTTTAGGGGGGTTTAGGCGGGCTCAGGGGTTTAGAGGGCTTGGGGGTTGGGGGTTTTGGGTTTGGAGGGTTCGAATCCCCGAACCCTGAAACCCACCCTGGAGCTCTTGACTAGGGTTTAGGGTTTAGGGTTCCTCCCTCAGAAAAAGAAACCTCACGGTGCCTAAGCCCTAATCCACCAAAGCCCCCAAGCACAGAAGCGTCAACATGGTTCTGTCTGAGATTCCTACAGAACTGAAAACAAAATCACAGAAAGCAAAAGCACAGGAACCCTTCCCCCCCCAAACCCCCCTTAAACCGCGCGAAACCCTTAAACCCCCCTAAACCCCAAACCCGAAACCCTTAACCCTAAACCCTAAACCCTCCTAAGCCCCAGCAGCGGGCAGACGCCAGGTGGAGGAGGCTGAGAGGATCCTCCAGCTGCCCCAGAATCCCGACAAAGTCGAGTCTTCAGGCCACGGGTGCGGAGAGACGTAAGGGTAGGTGGTTTAGGGTTTAGGGTTTAGGGTTGAGCATTTCAGGTTCAGGGTTAGGGCTCAGGGCTTGTCATTGAGGGTTTAGGGTTTGTGGTTGCATGGGGTTGGGTTATCAGGTTTAGGGTGATTCTGGAAAGCGCCGAGCAAGGGCATCTACCGGTACTCCGCCACCTATCTCTAAACCCTAAACCCTAAACCCTAAACCCCAAACCCTAAACCCTAAACCCTAAACCCTAAACCCTAAACCCTAAACCTCTACATTTACTCCACCACCTATGACAAGAAGGACCCTCTTGCCGTTGCCGGTGGGTTTCATCTTCGCTCTCGAAAGCCACTGGGGGGGGGGGGGGGGGGGGGGGGGGGGGGGGGGGGGGGGGGGGCACAGCACTAGGAGAAGAGGGTCCATGCCCTCATGAGGCAGCATTGGACTCACCTCTAAACCCTTAACCCTAAACCCTAAACCCTAAACCCTAAACCCTAAACCCTAAACCCTAAACCCTAAACCCTAAACCCTAAACCCCAAGAAGACATCAGTCTTAGCCTTGAGCAACTTCAGAAGCAAGCTCGCGAGGGTTTCGCGACTTCCTTGAAGCACCAGGACCCCTGCCTCCCGAGTGTATCTGGGTTGTGGTTTGGGATAATTCTTACTTTGGGGAACCTAATCATAGATAGCTTTCAAAGGATTTAAAGCACAACTCAGGTATAGTAATGGCTTGAAGTGGGTTCCAAGAGTGCTAACCATCAGGAAATGTATTTTGTGTGAAGCTGGCCAAGAACCTAGTTTTCAAACTGGGCGCTTAGCTGAGCTTCCGAGCCTGAGTCAACCTTCGAAGGAGACAGGTTCATTGTGGGGAGAACCTGGGTTGTAGGCTATTCTTGCGTCAGTGCAGTCTTGCTAGAAGTACGCCCTCGTTCGCAGCAGCTAAAGGACTCAGGATATCGGACTTAGACCACGCGAAGCACAGCCATAGGGAGAGATTGTCTTTAGTCTAGGTACTTGACAAAGGCTCAGGGTGTTCGAATTTAGGCTTCCAACTGGCTACTGCAGTTCCCGATACCTTGCAGCCCTAAACCCTAAACCCTAAACCCTAAACCCTAAACCCTAAACCCTAAACCCTAAACCCTAAACCCTAAACCCCCATGCCTTTCTTGGTTGGTAACTCCGGGTACCGGGATCCGCATGTGTGCAGCCCCCATGCCTTGCAACCCTAAACCCGAAACCCTAAACCCTAAACCCTGAACCCTGAACCCTAAACCCCCATACCTTGCAGTGTGGCCGCAGGCATCTTCACGCCATTGCTCGAAGCGTCACGCCTCGGCCATGTGGACGCCTTCCCTGCACTTGATGTTGGGGTTGTAGGGTTTAGGGTTTAGGGTTTAGGGCTTAGGGATAGCTGGTTCTTAGCAGGATTTTTTGAGGGACCGAGGTACCCTATATAGTTTCTTAAAGGGTATGTATAGAGCCCAAATTCCCTCATTCCCTTGTGGGGATGTTGGGGTTGTAGGGGTTTTTTGAGATTCTAAGGGGCTGTTCTCTAAACGGATTTTAAAGGGTTCTTGGGGTTTACAAACGGTTTTTATAGGGTTTTTTAAGGGTTCTTATAGAAGGTTTGTGGACTTGTAGAGATTGCTTAAACCCGAAGCCCTAAACCCAGTTGGGTCTGATAGGGAAGGGCCTACACCGTGACCTCGAATAAGGCCTCCTCATCAGGCCTTCGATTAACCCTAAACCCTAAACCCTAAACCCGAAATCAACGCTGGGGTTGAGGGATTGGACTCGGGAAGGGTCTTCAGTACCTTTGAGACTTTCGTTTTTCGGGGTTTAGGGAGTTAGGGGTTTAGGGGTTTATGGGTTTAGGGTTTATAAGGTTTAAGGGTCCGTAAGCAGTCCCAGCAGTCCCCTCCCCTGAGTTAAGAGTAGAGTGAGAAGGGCCCGAAATTGGGCTGTAACTAGGAGATCTCAGGTGAACAGTCCCGTGATTTTCCCGGTTTCTGCAGGCTCTGGCACTGAGTGAAGCCTTTCTGCGGAATGGTTCAGTTTTGGCCTGCCGGGCCTTCTCTAAGTAGATGGTCTAGGGCTTAGGATCTAAGGTAAGGGCCTAGGGCTCAGAGAATTAGGGATTCCTCAACCCGAGACCCTTGACCCTAAACCCTCAACCTAAACCCCGAAACCCCTACACAAGCGCCGGAATGGGATCTGTGTTTGTCTGCCTCATGGGCGCGTCACTCCTGATGCGAGAGTTGACGCCCCTCTGGACAGAGGCCACAGGCATCCGCGCGCTACTCGGCGTGCTGCAGGAGCCGACTGACGCCATGCTGGACGCTCGAAAGCTGTCGGCAGACCACAGGAATGCCATGGTCAACTTGCTGCAGGGGCCGTCGCGCACTGTCCCCCTGTTCGGCTACGCAGCCCGGGGCAACACAGGCCGCACCTACAATTTTTCTGGACCTGAGGGGGGCTACACTAAGCGCGACATTGATGTGGCCTTCGCGTTGGCCTTGATACAGCGGGTGGCCACCGCACGTAATGATGCTGCGCATGCAGGTTCTCATATGGCCGAAGAAGAAGAAACCCTAAACCCTAAACCCTAAACCTGAATCTGGGCCGGTCTCCTGCGTGCCCGACCCTGACAGGCATGGCTTAAATGCTCCTGAGCAAATTCCCAGGACAAGGTGAGTTACCACATTAGGGTTTAGGGTTTAGGGTTTAGGGTTTAGGGTTCGACAGTGATGATTCCACACAGAGGGCCGCCGCGCCGCCCTCCCAGCGACCATACAGAAGCATGTTTTGATTTCGGGGGCATCTTGAAAGTAGACCATGTTGTCTGGGGTTCAGGGGTTAGGGTTGAGCACGCCCTGCTGGAACATATCCCAGTTGGGCTTCTGAGGTTCAGGACCCACTATGCCAAACGCTGAAAACCGAAAGCCCTAAACCAAACAGAAGCAGGTTCCTAGACCCTAAACACCCTCAACCCTCATACTAATATCCTAATTCCCTGTTACCCTAAAACCCTATTGCCCTAAACCCTACAACCCTACTGCCGTAAAGCCTACAGCCCAAATACCTTTCCCTAAAACCCACCTGATCCTAAACCCTAAACCCCAAATCCTAAACCCGAAGCTCTCAACCCTCAACCCTCGTACCTAAACCCTAAACCCTAAACCCTCAAGAAAGCGCAAATGGGTCGAAAGGAGATGGTTCGCCTGCTGCTCGAGGCGGGAGCGAACAAGAGCCTCGGCTTCTCAGGGCTTCAGGTTTAGGGTTTAGGGTTTAGGGTTTAGGGTTTAGGGTTTAGGGCTTAGGGTTTAGGGTTTAGGGTTTAGGGTTTTAGGGCTCTGGGGCTTTAGGGCTTAGGGCTTAGGGTTTAGGGTCTAGGGTTTAGGGCTCTGGGGCATTAGGGCTCTAGGGCTTTAGGGCTTTAGGGCTTCAAGGCTTTAGGACTCTAGGGCGTTAGGGCGTTCGGGCGTTAGGGTTTAGCCTTTGGGGTGTAAGGCTTTCGGGGTTTGGGGTGTAAGGTGTAGTTTCCAAGGTGTAGGGTTTGGGGGTCTTGCACATGTGGTTACACTTTCGGGGCGTCGGGGCTTGGGGGGGGGCATCGGACAGGGAACTGAGGACTCAGACTACAAAAGCGCCAGGGGTGATCAGAGTATAGTTTAGGGGCTCGGATTTTAAGGTGATTGTCAGGATTTAGGATCTAGAGTTTAGGAGTTAGGGTTTAGGGATCAGGATTTAGTTGCGCACATCCGCTTCCCCAACCGATGTCGAAGAGTCTCTGTTCATCGACTCTTTTGCATACAGAACGGGTATACGCATTGTCCTTCCCTACAGCCCTACTTCCTAAACCCTCAACCCTGCATTCCTAAAGCCTGGGCCGTAAAACCCTACACCCCGAGGACCACTCAAGGCCCTTTCTTACTTGATGACGCATGTGCACCACCGCATGTCGAAGCAAGTTGACTTACTGGTGCTTAAGGGAGAGTGGAAGAGTGAATATAGGGACGATTATAAAGGGATTCTATAGGGACTACTATAGGGTTTCACTCTTCCACTCTCCCTTAAACACCAGTGTTGAGGTCCCAGAACCCTAAACCCGAAACCCTAAACTCGAAGCCCTAAGCCCTAAACCCTAAACGCTAAACCCTAAACCCGAAACCCTAAACCCTAAACCGCCAAGGAACCTCGGCCTCGTGAATGGCACGCCCTTGGCCGTGGCGGCTCGACAAGGCCCCGGGGGGCTTCCTTTTGGCCCGAGCCTTTGGGCCGGTAGTTTAGGGTTTAGGGTTTGGGGTTTAGGGTTTGGGGTTTAGGGTTTAGGGTTAACGGTTTAGGGCTTAGGGTTCGGGGTTTAGGGTTTGGGGTTTAGGGCTCAGGGCTAAAGGTTTAGGGTAACGAGTACTGGGGATCCAGGGATTAAGGCATTTGGGTCTTTGGGAAGGGGGGGGGGGGGGGGTTCAGGAGGATCTGTGTCGAAGTTTACGGGCTTTCAGAGCTTTTCTAGGGTTCCCTCGGCCCGAGCTTTTTGGGCCCTTGGGTTGGGGTTTCAGGGTTTAGGTTTTAGGGTTTAGGGTTTAGGGCTTAGGGCTTAGGGTAGTAGAGGAACAGGGTAATAGGGTTCCAGGGGTTTAGAGCATGACGGTTTTAGGGTTTCAGGGCTTGTGGGGCCTTCGGGTTTTAGGGGCCTCAGTTTTGGTGGCTGAGGGTTTGTGGGGGGGGGACTTAGCGCTTTCGTGCGTAGTTTTTACAGGTTCAGGAGTTTTGTGCCTTTGGAGTCTTTAGGTATTTAAGGGTTTAGGGCGTTCGGGGTTTCATCTGCTTGGGGTCTATGGCTTTAGGTTTTTGGATTTCAAGGATTTAGGTGGAATGTTGGATAAGCTTGGTTTTCTTCATAGGAGGTAAGGGTTCAAGGTTTAGGATTCAATGGTGCAATTTGCCGTAAGAGAGGCTGTTGGGTTCAGGGGGCGGGGGGAGGGTACGGTTCTTTAAGTAAAGGCCTTGGGACTTGAGGTTTAAGGTTCAGGGGTAACCCTACACCTCACACGCTAAACCCTAAACGGCCCTAAACCCTAAGCCCTAAACCCTAGACCCTAAACCCTAAACCCTACACCCTACACGCTAAACCCTAAAACCCTAAAGCCTAAACTCTAAACCCTAAACCCTAAACCCTAAACCCTAAACCCTAAACCCTAAGCCCTAAGCCCTAAGCCCTAAACCCTAAACCCCCCCCCCACGGAAGTCTTCCTCATCCCCTGAGGACACCAGGAGGTGGTCCGCGTGCTGCTCAAGGCGAGGTACGGGGCAGATCTTCGTAGGGTTTGGTTTAGGGTTTAGGGTTTAGGAGGTAGGGCTTAGGGTTTAGGGTTCAGGGCTTAGGGTTTAGGGTTCAGGGTTTTCGGGTTTACAGTTTCCGGGTGTTGGATTTTCGGGTTTCCGGGTTTAGGGTTTTCGGGTTTTGTGGGCTCTGGGGTTTAGGGTTTTCGGGTTTGGGGCCTTGGAGTTTAGGACCAAGTTTAGGAGGCAAAGAAGTCACTTGAGAGTGGAATCGTTTGGGTTCGGGTTTGGGGACGGGAGCGCTGACCAATTGGACTGGCTTTTTGTTAATGAATAAGCCCAGGCCAGGCAAGTTTACAAAACACCAAGATCAGGTCTTTTGCTGGACTTAAATCTTGATCGGGAGGGCGCACGATGATGTTCTCAATGGGCTGGAGACTGGGTCTTGCAGAATAGCACACCGCGCCAAGCCCTTCAACAAGTGAGTTCAAGGTTCTGGGAGTTGAATTCAAGTTAGACAGTCCAAGATAAGCAAAGCATTTCTTTGCACTCCACAATACCCTCTTGCCGGTGCCGTGGCAAGAGTGGAGAGGGGCAGACAGCCGCTGTTGCCGGCATTCCGCCCACTGCATCCCCAACACTCGGGAGCTAGATTTTTGTTGCTCAAATTCGGGGTGTTCATGCAAAAGCGTTTGGAAGGCAAATGCACGGTGCAACCAACCGTGCAGTGCTCCTTGATGAGGAAAGCACCGAGTCAACTGTGAAGACCTGGAGGGCAACCCTGCAAGTCGTGAAGACTATGTCCCCGAAGTTTGTGTTGCTGGAGAACGTGGACGCGTCAAAAGCACGTGAATTTCTACATCGGTCTGACCCAACAAGTTCAACAAGCACCTCACAATTGAGTGAGCAGCACACTTTCGCAGAGGTCCCTAAACCCTAACCACCCAGCCATGAACCCAAACCCCATGAGCTGCCCCAAAGAGACGTACAACTCTCAGGCTACAACCCGCAACCCTAAACCCTAAGCCGAAAGCCCCCAACGAATCCTGGATCCTCCTCCTTTCTCCACCACACTCCTTTCCCTACAACAATCGCCCGAAACCCTCAAACCCTAAACCCCAAATCCCAAAAACCCCAAACCCTAAACCCTCAAACCCTAAACCCTCAAACCCTAAAACCCCAAACCCGAAACCCCAAACTCCAAATCCCTAAACCCCAACCCCTCAAAACCCTCAAAACCATCCCCAAACCCTACCCAAACCCTCCCCAAACCCTGCCCACCCAAACCCTCCCAAACCCTCTAAACCCTCCTAACCCCCAAACCCCCCTAAACCCCCTAAACCCCTCAGAAGCCCTCAGAAGCCCTCAAAAGGCTGCAAGAAGCCCTCAAAACCCCTCACGAAGCCCTCGGAAGCTCTCCCTGAGGCCGGCGCGTGGGTAGACGAGGCCTCTGCGGGCTTCCCGCCCCTCTTCCTGGCGGCAGCAGCCAACCAGGCCATTGCGGGGTTCAGGGTTTAGGGTTAAGGGTTTAAGGGTTTAAGGGCTAAGGGTTTAGGGTTTTAGGGTTTAAGGGTTTAAGGGTTTAAGGGTTTAAGGGTTTATGGATTTATGGGTTTAAGGGTTTTAGGGCCTCAGGGTTTTAGGGTTTTAGGGGTTTAGGGGTTCAGGGGTTAAAGGGTTTAAGGGTTTAAGGGTTTAAGGGTTTAAGGGTTTCGGGTTCGATACGTTGTGCTTGTTGTTAACGGGCTTACTAGGGTTTTCAGGCATGGGGCAAGGTTTTTGGAACCGGTTGTTGAGGGCTTTCAGGTTGGGTTCTTGTAGGTTTTTTTTTTTTTTTTTTTGGGGGGGGGTTCGTCTTACTTGGAGGCGTTCAGGGTACTTATTGACCCATTAAGACTGTACTTTTAACCCACTTATATTATAAGCCCCTTTAGGGCCCTAATATGGTTGTGAGTATAATTGTGTTAATAAGTACCATGAACCTCCAAGTAGGGGGCTCACAGTGGAACCCAGATCGGGTGGAGGGCTTAGGGCTTTGGGCGATGCCCTTCAACAAGGCTAGCGCTTTCGTCAGGTATGTTCAGCTGTCTAAATGACTAAATGGGATCCTTTTTGGGGTGTCTCCTGTATAGTGCGGCACAGTTCAAAAAACAAAGGACCCTCATTTAGAGAACTGCCCCCTTACCCCATGCTTGTAAGGTTTTGGGGTTTAGGGTGTAGGGTTTGGGGGCTTGGGGGCTTGGAGGCTTGGGGGCTTTGCAAAGGCTCCGGGAAGCTACGTAATGCTCCTGGGTGCCTTTACACCTCAAGCCTGGTGGAGACTCTCACCAAGCCCTTTAGAACCCTAGCCCTAGACCATAGAAGGCGCTCCAAAACCCTTACTGGCCCTTACCCTAAACCCCTAAACCCTAAACCCCTAAACCCTAAAGCCTAAACCCTAAACCCTAAAGCCTAAACCCTGAACCCTAAATCCTAAATCCTAAACCCTAACCTTAAACCCTAAACCCGAGCCCTAACCAAGCCTCCCAAGCCCGTCGTCTTCCTAGCTGGGGGTTTTTCAAGACAGCCCACAACTTGGGTCGTGGCCCAGGCACCTATCGTGCGTCAGCTTCTGAAGGCGGGGCCTTGCGTCAGGGGTTTAGGGGTTTAGGGGTTTGAAGGCTTTAAAGGCTTTAAGGGTTTAAGGGTTTAAGGGTTGGTTTAAGGGGTGTTCTATATCCCCCTCGGGAATTATTTCTTGTTGATATAAAGCCCAAGAGGATATTAAGAATAGTATTTTTATTAAGGTTCTAAGGGGAGTATAGCGTTTGTTGGCTTTTCCGTCTTGATGCTTGTTTCAACCGTTTGCGTGTATTAGTCGATTTATTCTTAACTGTTATGGTGCTCGTGTGCGAAGGGTGTGAATGCCTGGGTGGAAAAAGCTCTACTGTAGAGAAGACAACTAGTCATCCCTTAAACTTAAGTCCGCCGGCTTAATTGTTCTAAGGGGTGGGGCCTCGTTTCTTCCGGGACCTCACCCTGCGCCCTCGAGGTCTGGGTTTAAGTGTCCTTTGACTGATGCAAGCAGCTTTCGCTGGCGACACGCCTCCGCAAGCTTCGCGAGCTCCGCCAAAGCTCATGAAATCAGTATGTGAAGCCTTCCTTATTCTTCTCATTACTAATTATTCTTCTTCTTGCTTCTTCTGATTATTATTCTTCTTCTCCTTCTTATTATTCTTCTCTCTCGCTTCTGCTTCTGCTGCTGCTTCTTCTTCTGCTTATTCTTCTTTTCTTCCTTTTCTTCTTCTCGGGAGAGGGTGAATGACAAGAAGGGGCCAAGAAAGAGAAAGAAGGCAAAGGAAAGAGCAGGGGAAGCACACATCAAACACCCCAAAACTCTCAACTCCCTCAACCCTAACCCCAAAACCCCTACAACCCTAAACTCCTAAACCCCTAAACCGTCAACTCCTAAACCCTAAAACCCTTCAACCCTTCGACCCTCAACTCCCTCAACCCTCAACCCTAAACCCTAATTAAACCCTAAACCCTATAACCCTAAACCCTATACCCCTAACCCCTGACCCCTAACCCCCTAATAGCCCTTAAAGCCCTTCAACCCTTAGACCCTCAACTCCCTCAAGAAGACCCTCGAGTCCCAAGTTCCCAGCGCCTGAAGCCTCCCGAAACTGTCCGCGCGATGCCTGGGGCGCAGGCGCGCGCAGACAAAGACATGTTCCTTGGCCACGATAGGGGGTGTTTTAGGGTTTTGGGGTTAAGGGTTTAGGGTTTAGGGTTTGGGGTTTGGGGTTTGGGGTTTAGGGTTTAGGGTTCGCGTCTCACGGGGTTAGGGTTTGGGATGTTTGATTGATGTCCTCAGTAGGTTCCAGTGGGTGCTAAGCGGAAATAGTTGGAGGGCTTAACGTGGTTCGGGGGGTTCAGGGTTTAGGTACAGGACACTGTGGGGCTTATAGGGCGTATACGGCTTACAGGGTTTATCGGGCTTACAGGCCTTACACACATTTTTTTAATTCAGTCCCTAAACCTTAATCTAAGCCCTAACCAATCTCCAGGAAAGAGGCCATAAACCCCAAAGATCCCCATAACCCTACACTCTAAAGCCCTAAAGGCCCCAAACCCAAACCAACCCCCCGAATCTCCAAGAGCGTTTAAACCCTAAACCCATAAACCCTCAAACCCTAAAACCCTAAACCTCGAACCCTAAACCCTCAGCCCTGAACCCTGAACCCTAAACCCCAAGCCTTAAACCCCAAACCCCAAACCCCAAACCCTAAACCCCAAGCCTTAAACCCTAAACCCTAAACCTCAAACCCTAACCCCGAAGGAAAACCGCCAACGGCAATGCCCTTGGCGCTGCGTCGAGCTTGGGACACACCGAGGTGGTCCGCGCGCTCATTGAGGCCAGGGCGGGGGGTTAGGGGTTTTAGGGTTTCAGGGTTTTAGGGTTTAGGGTTTAGGGTTTGGGGTTTAGGGTTTTAGGGTTTGGGGTTTAGGGTTTAGGGTTTAGGGCTACAAACCCCGAAGATCCCCTCGAAGAGGTGGGGTCCCTTCAAGGGCCCACGGAGGGGGGGGGGGGTTTCCCATTCTCGTGCTGAGGGTCTGGGTTTCGGAAGGCGCGGCCCCTTTTGGCAGACTTTGGGCTCAACCCGAAACCCGAAACCCTAAACCCTCAACCCTGAACCCTGAACCCTGAACCCTAAACCCTAAACCCTAAACCCTGAACCCTGAACCCCAAACCCCAAACCCCATCCCCCCGGCCGCTGTGGGGCCATCTCTGCGCCTGGACCGCCACCTTTTCTTTGTCATAGTTGGGTAGCATTTTTCAGTTTAAGGGTACATAAACCCAGTAAGGAATAGAGTTGCATTTTGGTTATAGTATGCCAACCATGAACTAGTTTTAGGGTTTAGGGTTGAGGGTTTAAGGTGCCCTGAACCCTGGACTCTTAAACCCTAAACCTTAAATCCTATGGTCTGGATCCTTAGGGGTAGTTTGCAAGGGTGCTTGGTCGTTCATTGCATCGACGGGGTTTTGGGGCTTCGGACTTGTAGGCTTGTGGTTGGCATGGTTCACAAATTCACCTGATTGCGGCCGCCCCCCCCCCAACTCTTCTAAACCCAAAGCTCACGCCCCGTACATGTTTCAAATGCCTCAAATCAGGTCTCCCTCGGTAGCTTCCAAGTTCTCTGCCTCAGGTATCTCGGTAGCTGTAGCCAAGTCTAATCCGGCTGGATCTCGGGCAGCTCTTTCCATGCCGACCACGGCCCGCACCGTAAGCTTTGCCACGCCCCTCGCTCGTCCCGGCACGTTCTAAGTTTCAGTTTTTCGCCCATACGAATATCGGCCTTGCCAATTAATTACATCACAGGACATGACTGTACCGTCGTGAGGATGCCGATGATGCTGATGCTCGTGATGCTGATGCTCATGATGCTGATGCTCACGTTGCTTGCGCCAATAAAAAACGGACCCTTTTCGGCCCCTCCGCAGGGCACATATATAGCCCTGCAATACCGTGGGGTGCATTTTTGCTCCACGATGATTTGATTCTTCTAGGTCTAGATATTGCCCCAGCATATTTTTCCCGAGCCCAAACCCCCGGTTAAGTTTTATATATCGTTTTGAGAACGGGGGCCCGTGGAAGGGTGTCGGGTCCCACTAGGGGCTCACACCTGGGCCTGGGGTTCCCTCTCGCCCAGGCCATCATGTTGTACTTGTGTTTTGCCATCTTGTAACTTCATCCAGAGTCCTTCATTCATCTAGTTCGGCCTGGGCAGGGGGGGCTCTACCGTAACTAGATATAAAAAACTTGTCCTGTCAACTCAATGCCGTAATTCGTCAAATGTTGTTTTGTCAAAAACGGGTGAGCCCGGCCGGGTGAGGCCCTGGGCCACCCCCCGGCAAGCGGCACCGGGAGACCAAAACGCGCACGAGGTCCTTAATAACGTTAACTAGTCGGCATTGAAAGGACACCCTAATCCCCAACTACCCTAAGTAGAAATTTCAGAAAATGTTCTGATGCTCATTTGCTCGAGCAATCTTGATCCGATGGATTTCCCTGCTGAGCAATCTTGATCCGATTTATTTCCCTGCTGAGCAATCTTGATCCGATGGATTTCCCTGCTGAGCAGTCTTGATCCGATGGATTTCCCTGCTGCGCAATCTTGATCCGATGGATTTCCCTGCTGAGCAATCTTGATCCGATGGATTTCCCTGCCGAGCAATGTTAATCCGATGGGTTTCTTGAGCTTGCAACAGCATCTTCAGCTGCAGTACGGACTCCGGGCCTTTGCTTCCCACCGTCACCCAAAAAAGTCCTCAGCTGCAGCACGGACTCTGGGCCTTTGCTTCCCGCCGTCACCCAAGAAAGTCGTCAGCTGCAGTACGGACTCTGGGCCTTTGCTTCCCGCCGTCACCCAAGAAAGTCCTCAGCTGCAGTACGGACTCTGGGCCTTTGCTTCCCGCCGTCACCCAAGAAAGCCCTCAGCTGCAGTACGGACTCTGGGCCTTTGCTTCCCGCCGTCACCCAAGAAAGTCCTCAGCTGCAGTACGGACTCTGGGCCTTTGTTTCCCGCCGTCACCCAAGAAAGTCCTCAGCTGCAGTACGGACTCTGGGCCTTTGTTTCCCGCCGTCACCCAAGAAGGTCCTCGGCTGCAGTACGGACTCTGGGCCTTTGCTTCCCGCCGTCACCCAAGAAAGTCCTCAGCTGCAGTACGGACTCTGGGCCTTTGTTTCCCGCCGTCACCCAAGAAAGTCCTCAGCTGCAGTACGGACTCTGGGCCTTTGTTTCCCGCCGTCACCCAAGAAAGTCCTCAGCTGCAGTACGGACTCTGGGCCTTTGCTTCCCGCCGTCACCCAGCAAAGTCCTCGGCTGCAGTACGGACTCTGGGCCTTTGCTTCCCGCCGTCACCCAAGAAAGTCCTCAGCTACGGACTCTGGGCCTTATCTTCCCGTCACCCAGAAAGTCCCAGCAGTACGGACTCTGGGCCTTTGTTTCCCGCCGTCACCCAAGAAAGTCCTCAGCTGCAGGACTACTCCTCTGGTACGGACCTTTGCTTCCCGCCGTCACCCAAGAAAGTCCTCAGCCGCCGTACGGACTCTGGGCCTTATCTTCCCGCCGTCACCCAAGAAAGTCCCCAGCTGCAGTACGGACTCTGGGCCTTATCTTCCCGCCGTCACCCAAGAAAGTCCCCAGCTGCAGTACGGACTCTGGGCCTTTGTATCCCGCTGTCACCCAAGAAAGTCCTCAGCTGCAGTACGGACTCTGGGCCTTTGTTTCCCGCCGTCACCCAAGAAAGTCCTCAGCTGCAGTACGGACTCTGGGCCTTTGCTTCCCGCCGTCACCCAAGAAAGTCCTCAGCCGCCGTACGGACTCTGGGCCTTATCTTCCCGCCGTCACCCAAGAAAGCCCTCAGCTGCAGTACGGACTCTGGGCCTTTGCTTCCCGCCGTCACCCAAGAAAGTCCTCAGCTGCAGTACGGACTCTGGGCTTTTGTTTCCCGCCGTCACCCAAGAAAGTCCTCAGCTGCAGTAGGGACTCTGGGCCTTTGTTTCCCGCCGTCACCCAAGAAGGTCCTCAGCTGCAGTACGGACTCTGGGCCTTTGCTTCCCGCCGTCACCCAAGAAAGTCCTCAGCTGCAGTACGGACTCTGGGCCTTTGTTTCCCGCCGTCACCCAAGAAAGTCCTCAGCTGCAGTACGGACTCTGGGCCTTTGTTTCCCGCCGTCACCCAAGAAAGTCCTCAGCTGCAGTACGGACTCTGGGCCTTTGCTTCCCGCCGTCACCCAGCAAAGTCCTCGGCTGCAGTACGGACTCTGGGCCTTTGTTTCCCGCCGTCACCCAAGAAAGTCCTCAGCCGCAGTACGGACTCTGGGCCTTTGTTTCCCGCCGTCACCCAAGAAAGTCCTCAGCCGCAGTACGGACTCTGGGCCTTTGTTTCCCGCCGTCACCCAAGAAAGTCCTCAGCTGCAGTACGGACTCTGGGCCTTTGTTTCCCGCCGTCACCCAAGAAAGTCCTCAGCTGCAGTACGGACTCTGGGCCTTTGCTTCCCGCCGTCACCCAAAAAAGTCCTCAGCCGCAGTACGGACTCTGGGCCTATATCTTCCCGCCGTCACCCAAGAAAGTCCCCAGCTGCAGTACGGACTCTGGGCCTTTGTTTCCCGCTGTCAACCAACCGCTACACCCAAGCGCCAAGCCCTCAAACATGGACAGACGACTCAACGCACCCGAAATGCTGAACCTATACAACTATCGAGAAGCCCCCTGAGCCTAGAGGTAGCAGGGACCCCCGAACCCTAAACCTCTAAAGTTTAGGAGCTTGGGGGGGGGTTTTAGAGGGATAGGGTTCCCCTTAACCGAAAAAGCGAAACCTTAAACCTGAAACCGCTAGTTAGGGCCACGGTATTGATTTCTCGCCTTTTAGGCAAATGGGGTTGAGGGTTTACTTCGAAATTCTTCTCGTCACTTGCTCAGTCGACTGAGTATCCCCTAGAAACCCGAACGTAATCTCCATAACCCAACTTACCAGCCCTGTTTAGGGTCAAGGGTTTAGGATTCAGGGTTTCGGGTTTAGGGTTTAGGGTTTAGGATTCAGGGTTTAGGGTTTAGGGTTTAGGGTTTAGGGTTTAGGGTTTAGGGTTTAGGGCAAGGGGCTTCGGATTTAGGGTAGAGGCTCGGACCAGATGGTGGGCGAGA